AGGTATTTCCCTGCTGTCACTCCCTGTCTTTTGAGTTTCCCTCTGCAGGTGGGCGTGTCTGGAGGTGACCAAGCTGCAGCAGATCTGCTCATCAGCTGGCCAGGGGTATTTAAGCAGCTGGGAGACTCCTACACTTTGCTGGATGATTACTCTACCTGGACAAAACCTCCACACTCATCTTCGACTGGCAGAACTCTGGAGCCCGCATCATCTGAAGCTCCAACCCCGCTCGTCTCTCAGCCTCTCCCCTGGCCAGAACCACCTCCAGCCGCCCACCTAACCCTCCTGGACCTTTCCCAAGCTCAGCTTCCTCCACGTCTCACTCCTGGATCTCAGTCCCTGCTACCCAGACCGGACCACTCCTCCCTCAAACCAGTTCCCACCTCTCCAGACCGTAAGTCCTCTGCACAAGTCTGATTTCCTGATCCTTCCGCAAATTGGATCTAACCCCGATCTGTCCACAGTTTTCCCGCACCAGCCTCCCTGCACAAGAACTCAGCTTCGTTACGCTGCTCCCTTGGTTTCCCTTCAATAAATCCTTATTTAAACCTTTTAAAACCGTCTCCGACCTGATTCTGTATGTCGTGGGTTAGTTTTCTTCACCACAACATGACAGAGAGAGTCAGTGCTTTTACATGTGCATCAGAAAACCGAACTTTTGCCCTACATAGACTGACATTGTGCATTTATTTATTTATTTTATTAATGTAAACACGTTAGTCTTGCTGAAGGCGGACAGGTTCCAAATGCGCTGAAGCACCCAGATAAAGGGGTAGGAAAATGACCACATCAGTGGAAATGGATCTGTTGGGCTTCTGGAAGTGACGAGCCACGGAAGCGGTCGTCTGATAATATCACTGTCACAATTTAACATGTGTAACACCAACAGTACAGTATACCAAACAAGCTGTGCTGCAGCGTTGTTGTCCATTACTGCAGCCATCGTCGTCTGCTTCACTCCCACCAGCAATTGTTTCATATTTAAACTATTTATTAGGGGCAGCTGAAGCTCAGGAGGTAGAACAAATTGTCCAGAAATCGGAAGGTTGTAGGTTCACTCCTGGCTGCTGCCAGAGAATGCCGCTGTTGTGTCCTTAGGCAAGACACCTATGCTGCCTTGCCTGCCGGTGGTAGTTGGAGGGACTAGTAGGGCCATTGTTCAGCAGTCTCACTTCCATCAGTGTGCCCCAGGGCAGCTGTGGCTACATTGTAGCTCATCACCAGCATGTGGATGTGTCTGTGAGTGGGTGGATGACTATGTTGTGAAGCGCCTTGCAGGGCTGTAGAACCCTAAGATGGTTCAATACAAATACAGGCCATATTTGTGTTGCTATAAGCTAACCAAAAAAAAAAAAAAAATGCCAACACAAAAGGGTGCACCACCTACTGTATCAGAGTGGGCCGAACTTCATTTGAAGGTTCGATTTTCTAATGTACATGTAAACTAGGATTAAAGCTACCAGTTCATTACTTCAGATTGACCTAGATCGACTTGGATGCATGCAAACACACTGACTGCAAGTGAAATCTTGGTAGCACTTTACAATAAGGCTCTCCTTAAAAATGGCTAATAAATAGTATATAGCAGTCCAACAAAATGTGTGTGACTTTTTTATGATGGTGGATTTTTTGGGGGGCTGGGCTGTGTGTGTGTGTGTGTGTGTGTGTGTGTGCGTGTTCTTTTAATTAATAAAAACTTCAAAAACCATTTATAAGGCTCTGTTTAATATGTATAAACTGACAACTATTAAAGGAACTGTAAGGCAAAATAGCCAACATTTTTATTATAAATATAACACTTGTAGTCAAGTTTCTTTGATGTTTGATGCATGTGTAGTGTTTAAATTGTATTATTTTCTTCTCGAAAGGATTTGTGTAAACTGGTTTATATTATAATGAAGGAAAATGTTTAAAGATCAAGTTCACTCATATTTTTATTACATTTGCAGTGGTCTCTAGTATAAATAAATGCCTTGTAAGCTGTCCTCTGGAAAAAAACGAAGCTCAGATACTCCTGTTGAGGACGTAGAAGTAAGCTCAAGGAAAAAGTGCAGCAGACTGCAGGATTTGTAGCCTTATTTCCTGATATTCCGACATCTGGCCTCTGATTGGATAACAGCAACGCAACTCTACCACCGAGTCTGTTTGCTCTGCAACGCTGATGTTTTATCTCCACAAATAAATCAATCCTAAAGGAGCTCTGCCATATTGTGGCATTGCTAATGCTAACGGTTAACTTCTACTAGTGAAGACATGTTCCGCTCTCTTATGGACGGCAAACCAACATCAGCCTTCTCAGTCATGAGTCAAGATGAGTGAGATCATGAATGCTAAATACTGATAGTGTGACGTTGATCTGTCGGCTTTTCTGAACCCAGTGTTTTTCCATCTAATTTCTTTCAGAAGCTAATGCAGGAAATAAGAGTAAATGATTATTTTCATGTTCAGCCTGTAGGTGAAAGTTGATTGTTTTCAAAAATAATAAGTACCAAATGGTTTCTCTGTGATCCTGGTCTTTGTCAATCTTGAACTCATTTTAAATAAGTCGAAAATAATTGTTTAGACGATATTAAAAAACAGATTTAGCTGTTAGATCTGTTAGAGATAAGACTATGCTGAACATGTTAGAAAATGAGAAACATTTGGTCGAATCGCATCACTTAAACTATTACAATTTTTTCTAATCTAAGTAATGTTAGAGGGGTGAAAACCCAATGTGACGGGAGGTTGAAGAAAACTATAAACACAAGTGTCATACAGTGAGGAATCCATCTGCGACACAGAGAAGGGAAACGTGACTGCTGCAGGTTAAACAGCTTATATCATAGAAGACGGATTTGGTTGCCTCTGCTGGAGGGGAATATTAGCAGGATTATCTGGCAACCCTGCTGCTGAGGTGAATACCGTTAGAATCCTATTTGTAAAGACTACTTTGCTTCTCATCCAAAATCCTGCTTCTTTTTCTCTTCTTCATGTTATAATTAGACCACTTTAAATTCTCACAACCCAGATTACACTCCTAAAATTATTTAAAAACATGTTAGGCATGTAATAAACATTGTAGTTGTGTGCGTTCTTTTATGTGTGGGTGTATCTGTCCCACATTAGAGGTACGGGACTTGCTTCTCCCATGAGCTGCTTCGTGCATATCATACACGTCCAGTGAGGACACACTGAATACCAATAGGGAAGGTGTTAGTATTTCTTCAGCTATTTGGGTATACCTTTTGTACATCTGCATACATAAAGGGGAGGGTGGGTTGGAAGCGAGGTACTGCTAGGTGTCAAAGAGATTGAGGCTGTGGTAGTGACTGCTATGTGTGCATTGAGTGTGACTGCACATCAAGGGGGCATTATGAAAATGTGTGTTGGTTTGCGTTTTTATAGACACAGTCTGAGGTTAATAAATATTGACAGGGAATTAGCTCTTCTGGCAGGGTCGCAGGTGGGTTTTAACGGGGTGAATTTGACACACCAACAAGAACAAACACATCGGTACTCACACAAAAACACTCTAATCCCCTTTTTATACTTTGTACTACATTCTACCCTAGGAAGTGTTCAACTAAGTCCTTGAGAAAGTTATTAATGATCTGCCTTCTACTCCCATGAAAACATCAAACTAATAGCCATTGTTAACTGCTGAGAAAGGAACGAAAAAACACAAAGATAAAGATTCAATTATCTACGTGAAAACATAAGGAAAAGAATAAAAAAAATAAAGAAGAGTTCAGAGTGGAGTGGAGATAACATGGTTTGTTCCTTAGAGTTGCACAATTAAGATTTTGGTCAAGAGCTAGGGGACAATCACAAATAATTTTTATTTAACTCAATCAAGGAGTGTCCAGGGAGCGGAATTCAAAGTGCTGTTACACTGTCCTGTCTCTTACTCCAAAGCAGTGACCATCAACTAGAGGCCCACAGGCCACATTCGGTCTGCCAGACCTCTCCACTCGGCCCCCTAACCCTTTGGGCCCTAACGCCCCCCAATTGGGGGACTTTAAAGTTAAGCAAAAACAACCCATGTACAATATATCAATAATTGTTTACGTTCACCAAACACAGTAAACTACAATCAAACCAGTTTAGACAGAAAACAAAGCAATTTTAAATATTAATAAGTGAAGATACAATAATACTTGAACTTTATTTTAGAAGAACATCTGGCCTTCACGGTGCCTGCTGGAAAAACTCCAGCCCTTGAGCTAATTTAGTTGAAGACCCGTTATAACCTATAGCAGGGAATTTCTATATCCCTGGAGGGGGGTGGGGGTTCAGGGGGCCACAAAGAAGGGCCCCACATGCCGCCTATTGAGTAACACTGACGTATAAAATGGACAATTCTCTGAGCTGTTTCAGTTGAATGTGTGATTTATTAAAAAGGATCAAAGCCAGCTTTATAGAAATGTCTTTTCTACCGATAAGATGCAACACATGCGTGAAAAGCTCTAGTGAGAGCCCAACAAGACAGCTATCAGCACAAACACAGATGCAAAAGCCGTTAGGAGGTTGTAGGCTGACTGTGTTCCCAGTTTAACTTCACACCTGTGTTTAATGATCACAGTGCGAATGCTGTCAGAAACATAGCCTCTAGCACATAGCTACCTGCAGCCATCTCCAGTCTCACGTACAGGTGCAGATGATGAATTACACCCAAAACATGGACTCATTTAAAAACTTCAGAGACTAAGATTTCCATTGAAATGAGCCTTTGAGCACAAGTTAAAATATCACATGATTGCTAACATACGGAAGGCTGATGTGGGCCGATATAAAGAGGAAACAGGGAAATGATTATTTGTAAAGAAGAAATAAAAAGTACAAATAGGGGAGGAGAATTCTTTAGAAAAACCGATGTTTGAACAAACAACACAGGGGAGATGGTAGCAGAAAACATAGATTGAAAGTTGTATAATTTGTTTTTAGTACCGTACGTTTTTAGAGTATTAAAATCAGTATTAAAACATTTGTGTCCTTTTTGTCTAATATAATGGACATACCTTTCTGAAGAGCAGAGAGTCTTCCATGTGCTCTGCGTAGACTGAAGTGAGCCTGTATTGGTTCTCTATTGTTATATCTATCTGGTAACCAGTCAGGACATAACAGACTGTGCGAAACTCTTGGATTTTCTTTTGAAAGACTTCCTTTAGCCTCTGGTTCGTCAACTTTGAGCTCTCCATTTGCTTACGTAAATCTGCAACAAACAAAAAAAGGAAAGAAGACATACATTGCATGTTTTTGATGCTGTAAAGGGAATATGTTGAATGAATGACTCGTAGTGATATTTTGGTAATCTTAAAAGTATGAGAGCAGCTAGGCCATTCCACATATTAAAGTTCACCAACATATGTGGAGACTCCTCAGTGGACTTTCACAATTCCAGAGCTCAACTCGCTAGGCTCATGAAGAATTGATGGGCAGCTCCAAATCAAATATACTCTCCCGGCAGCAATCCATCTGCCCAATTCTCAAAAATACTATAACGCACAGAGGGAAGCAGTGATAAAAATGGTTGACATACTATCTTAGTGGGGAGCTCATAAAAAATTAGAAACGGGATAGGGCATCATTTCAATTAGTTCAAAATCAGTTTGCAATCACTTGCAATGAATTACCTGATTTAATTTGAAAAGCCAGTGAAATAATTCAGTGGAGGGAATAATTCAAAATATTCCTCTTTACTGAAAAAACCTATTTAGGAAATTCATGCTAATCGAGAACTTAAAGTGTGAGATTTAATGAAAGCTAATTAAGAAAGTGTTGTTCCAACTGTTTACATTGAATGGAGGGCAAATACGGCTAAGACCAAGCATTGAGAATGACATTACTTGTCAGGAAATGACAATGGAAAAAGTGTGTGTGCGCGCGCGCGTGTGTGCGTGCGCATGCGTGCAGTGTCATTCACAAACTCAAAACCACTGACTAGCATTTAAGATTTTATATTTAAATATAATTTCAAATATTACATTTTTAAAATCTCACTTAAAGCCACAGTGTCTAATATTTTTACTTGTTTACTATAAAATTCTGTGTAACCAGTAAACAAACTTTTCCTTTTTCATTAAACATTTTTACAACATTAATTCTAAATATTCCTCTCAGCATGAAAATGTACTTTTTTAATACATAAACTGTGGTCAACGCTCCATGGTCATGGCAATTGATTATACTATCAACCTCATGTTATTTATAAAGAAAGGATGTGACTGCTGAAGTGAAAGCTGGAGGTTGTCGACATATTGCCTTTCTGATGCGTGAGATACCAGAGATGCAATACCTACTCTTAACTCCATGGCGCTTAAGAGTGGCTTTTTTTTATTTTATTTTTTTTATAGGGCACACGTATTACAAACTGTGGCTTTAATTGAATAATATAAAGTAGTTTTTAAAACAGCCTCATTGTTCACAAAATTTTAAGAGGTTATGAAAGATGAACAAAATCAATGATAAAACGCACCAGTTAAAAGTTCCAGTTTAACAGGCAAATTCACCCAAAGTTGCATCAGGACTGAATGGGTTATTATGTGAGTGAATTGGACTTTTGAGTTTGACAATGACGTGCTAGCAAAGGGAATATAATGCACCCTTAACACATCTGAGAATCTTCTGATGCTTTTTAAAGGTCAAAAGCATCTTACTTGTTCCATGTGCATCTACAGTACAGTATACTGATAAAAATTACACACCACTTAACAACCAGAGCTAGAGCTCAGGCTTTTAATACAGCAGTGACTGATAATTATGTTTCCTTCACTGCACGAACGTTAGCCTCCTATATTTTTTCTGTCATTTTAAGGAACAAAATAATCAGAAAGTGTGTATCGCTTTTTGTCCAGAAACCCAAATCTCCTAGGTGACTGGGCTCCTTTTTTGAGTGTCAGTCAGTGCACATAGTGTTTCAAGACTTCAAGGCTGACAAAACTGTCACATGCTGACAAACAGCCATCAAACTAGCAGCAAATTATCAAGTTATCAACTTTACATTAATGCTAATTTGCAGACAGGTGGACATCCATCCATCCATTTTCATCCGCTTATCCTGAGTTGAGTTGCAGGGGCAGTAGCCTAAGTCGAGAGGCCCAGACTTCCTTCTCCCCAGCCACTTGGGCCAGCTCCTCCAGGGGTATCCCAAGGCGTTCCCTGGCCAGGTGAGAGACATAGTCCCTCAAACGTGTCCTGGGTCTACCATTAGGCCTCCTCCCAGTTGGATGTGCCAGGAAAACCTCACCAGGGAGGCATCCAGGAGGCATCCTGTCCAGATGTTCGAGCCACCTGAACTGGCTCCTCTCGATGTGGAGGAGCAGCGGGTCTACTCCAAGCCCCTCCCGGATGGCCGAGCTTCTTACCCTATCTCTAAGGGAGAGCCCAGCCACTCTGCGGAGAAAACTAATTTCGGCCGCTTGTATCCGCAATCTCGTTCTTTTGGTCACTACCCAAAGCTCATGACTATAGGCCAGGGTAGGAACGTAGATCGACTGTCGAGAGCTTTGCCTTCTGACTCAGCTCTCTCTTCACCACAACAGACCGGTACAACGCCCGCATCACTGCAGATGCAGCACCAATCTGCCTAGCGATCTCACGCTCCAGTTTTCCCTCACTCGTAAACAAGACCCCGAGATACTTGAGGTTGGTTTATGCTTGACGCGTCCGAGAGGTCCGCACGGCTCCGCGCGGAAAAGTTGCGTCATTTTAACAACCACGCCCCTCCACCGCGTCTCCGCACTGCCCAAGATTTCCGCAAAGCGCACCTCGGAAAATTTCTAACCTAACCCTAACCCTAACCCTAACGGACGGAAGGACGTGGAAAAACATGGCGGACCGGCAAGAACTAGTATGGCAGAGGTTCGTAAATATAGACATTTGTATGATTCAGCTCTCAGATCACCGTGATCAACATGTAGTTAATAATTCTTGGAGAGAAATAGCTCGCACTGTCGGAAAAGACGAGGACGCTGTTAAAAATGCTGAAATGTCATGTTGTAAACAGTAGTTTCTACTTCTACTATGGTGTAGTGTTGGATGCATGCCATAGAGCTCCATGCTGCCCCGTTCAGTTTGGGAGAATATTGGCTCACCGCAGAGACGAGCCGCACAAACCATAAAGGCTGTGAGTTGTGAAGCGCGTTCCATCCGCGAGCCGCATCACCGCGCGGAAAGTAAATGTGTCAAGCATAAACCAAGCTTTAAACTCCTCCACTTGGGGCAGGACTTCATCCCTGGCCCGGAGAAGGCATTCTACCCTTTTCCGAATCAAGATCATGGTCTCAGATTTAGAGGAGCTGATTCTCATCCCAGCTGCTTCACACTCGGCTGCGAACGGCTCCAGCAAAAGCTGAAGATCACGTTCTGAGGATGCCAACAGGACCACATCATCTGCAAGAAGCAGAGAGCTGATCCTCAGGCCACCAAAACGGATGCCCTCAACACCTTGGTTGCGCCTAGAAATCCTGTCCATAAAGGTTATGAACAGAATCGTTGACAAAGGGCAGCCTTGGCGGAGTCCAACTCTCACTGGAAACGAGCCCGACTTACTGCCGGCATTGAGGACCAAGCTCTGACACCGGTCATACAGGGACCTAACAGCCCGTATCAGAGGGCTTGGTACCCCATACTCTCGGTGTACCCTCCACAGGGCACCCTAAGGGACACGGTCAAACGCCTTCTCAAAATCCACAAAACATATGTAGATTGGTTGGGCAAATTCCCACGCACCTTCCAGGATCCCCCTAAGGTTATAGAGCTGGTCCAGTGTTTCACAGACATGTAAGTGTTCCAGCAAAAACTAAATAATCCATTGGTGGCTTCATAACAAATAACTGTCTCATGAAATACAGTTTGTTTAGCTAAAATACTCACCTCATTAAGATAAACCAACTCATGTAGGTGAGAAAACATAGGAGTGAAAACCTGGTCAGTTTACCTACTGATGTGAAAATATCTACAGAAGGAAAGAGATTTGTTTGATAATGTTCACGACTGAAGTGTCTGCAAGCTTTCAGGGAAGACAAAAGCCAATCTCTCCTTAACCAAGCACCAATGTGTGCAAATCTCGGGATGCAGCTTTAAGGATGACAAGAAAAAAATAAAATTTCATAATAAATTATGTTTCATAACCAGTTGAAAAAATGACTAAAGACAAACACATCCATTGCACTTCAAACATTTTCACACATTCCTGTTAAACTCGGTCATCTTCTAAAAAAGATTTTCACACCAACCTTGAATAAATCCTTCAGAAAATCTATGAGTGATATGAAGTGTGAATGTAGCAGGTAATCTTTTGAAGAATTACACAAAATGGAAAAAAAATGGCCAAAATGTCCCAGTGAAATTGGAGGTTTTGCTTTCAGGCAACCTTGATTGGTTACTAAAAGGTCAACTAGACAGTCCTTTCTATTTAGGTAATTTAGTGTTAGTTTTAATGTAGAACGCTGGTTATTTAATATGACACAAGGTGGTGCTTTAGATGCATTTTGTCAAGAAAAAGAAAAAGAAATACAGCAGAAAAGGACGGCAGAGCAGCCAAATGGTGTGTGGGTGTGGGGTGGGAAAAGACAGCCACATTTTGGAAGACAAATTGGCCAACAGACGTTCACCAATGACCTGCCCAATTTCATATTTAACCCTGCCATAACTACACGCCCTTGTTCTAACTGCCTGTCTTACACTAAACTATGGAGACAGGGGCCAGAGGAACCTGAAATATTAATGCAGCATTCCCAGCAGAAATAGGGTACTAAAACATTTTTAATACTCATGTGTTGCTGACTTTACCCCAGTGCTGTTTTCTCAGGTAGGCCACCTGAAACCCGCCCAACAACATTACCAGAGCAAGTCACCCCTAAATAAACTGTTGTGTTTATTGATAAATTAGTGTATCTAATTTAAAATTAAAATATTCAAGTTGAAGCTCCAAATTCAGCTTTAAACTGTCAAGTGTTGCGTCCTCTTTAGGCAAAAACTGTACAACATTGAATCTGAATCAGCCATTACTACTGGCTAAGAAGTGTCCTGTGATGTTACAGGTAGGGGTGTATATCTTACAACAACCAGTGTTTCCCCTAGGAATTTTTCCAGCTGTGGTGGTGGTGGGGTGGGGGGGATTATGACACGTCTCACCTTTATGTTAATATTGTTTTATTTGATGCACTCCATTTTGAACTGCACCAATCCAGCAACTTCTGCATTTTAATAACTAGTATTAAAGGTGAATACACTAATATTTGCACAAGAATAGTTTTTGTTATGAACTGTCAGTGACACACTTTGCGGGGGGGGGGGGGGGGGGGCATTTAATTTTTCTTGGTGTCAGGAAAAACATCTCCTTCTGTCCCCCTTTCAAATAATTTAAGATACCCGACGGAGCGGAGGCAGTGACCAACGCATGCACAAGCCGTTTTCAGCTCTGTCTTGTCAAATACACCACGTACGTTACGAAAAACGTAACTTTAAATATTCAACCGAAAAAGAGGCGAGCTGAAGAAAACCTAGGGAGTACCGAAGAAACTTGAGCAACAGTGAAGCAAGCACAGAGAGATCTGTTACTGTCTGTGTGTGTGGGCCGGAGCAGTTTTGTGTGTAGGGAGGGGCGGGCACTCCATGTGACTGGCCAATCACAGAGCGTGAAGGCAGTCAGTTACCCAATGAGGATTTTTCTTCAGCACAATTACAGATATTTATGAGTTTTACTCCTTTCATGCTCGTATTCATCAAAAATGCTTTATCCGCGGCTCATCCCTAGCTGTAACCACCCTGCCCTGCCTCCTCCTCCTTGCTGCCTGCCAGCTGTGATCACAAGCAACAACAGAGTAGTTCCCGCTGCTTCTTCGGGAAACAGCAAAAACAAAAATAATAATAATTTAATAAATAAATAAAAATAAATAAATCTATAAAACAGGATCTTGCAGGCGTGGCGCTGGGATTTCAGTCATGGCGGGCCGCCACGGCTACGCCTATGTAAGGGAAACACTGACAACTCACGATTTAATTTGATTCCAATTCTCAGGGTGACATTCAGAATCGATTCTTGATTTAAATTAATTAATTAATTTAATTAATGAATTAAAATTCACAATCAATACTCTTAAGTAACAAAGTGTGTAAGTTAGAAGTCTGCCAGGTGTCGCTGATGTATTGAGCACTGAATGTGATGAAGGAGTGGGTTGCTCTGGAAGTCCACCCATCACTTGCTAGAATGATCAGTACGGAAGCCGTTTACTGGCAAACAGTATGGGCAGCTAATAAGCTAGGACATTTTGAGAAAATGCCTTCTTAATTTTGGATCTGTTAGGATGCATTGCGTAGTGGCTGCTTAAAGTTGGGACACCATGGACAAACTCCAGTCAGAGAATCCTTTATCAGTTCTAGTTTGATGAACTAAACAAGTCATGAAAGAAAGAAAGAAAGAAAGAAAGAAAGAAAGAAAGAAAGAAAGAAAGAAAGAAAGAAAGAAAGAAAGAAAGAAAGAGAAAAATTCATCATTCAACATCAAGCGTGTTATCGTAAAACATCACAAATGAGGAGGAGGATTCCTGTCACTCCGTGTAAAATACTTGTATCACTTTGCCTTTGATCAGCTACACATCATTCAACAGACTGCATGGCCGTGTGTCCAATGGGCAAGCAGCACAAACCATTGGGCTAAGACAATACAACACGCTGAATTTCTCTGATATGTGATCGTAGTAATCCACATGTCCTTCGTAGCATACCAAAGCACTCTTAACACACCACAGGAAAATTGTATACCTCATTTGCTTATTTTCAAAGCTATTACGATAATCAGGAGCATCCTTATGATTGTTCAAAGGAGAGAATCAAATAAAAAATCAGCATAATGTCTTTGCGTGTGAACCAGGACTTACAAGTTTATGCTCACAGTACATAAGTTTAGAGTTATTTTAGTTAGAGTGTTTATGAATACCTCTCAGAGTGTTGAACTTACCCAGAACTTCTTCTGATGGAGGTAAATTAAGGTTGAGGCTGGAGGTTATGTAGGAGTCACCTTGTGAAAGACCTACTGCGCCTCCATCCTGCAAGGAACGCACAAGTTCCCTGAGCCGTGTCACTTCCTCTCGAAGTACCTCCACATCCTGTTGGCGCTGTTGCTTAGCAGCAGCAGTGGGGTTCATTTTCAGGTGAACTACGCGGGTCTTGACTGGATCATAGTCTCCCTGAGACACACACAGACACAGAAATCAATCAACAATATAGATTTCCTTTACAGCCCTTTAGCTCGGCTTTATTATTTTTTCTTCCAACGTTGAGAAACGTGATGAAATTTGAGACCAAAAAAGCACAGAATTGATATTTTAATTGTTTTAACCATAACACTCAACACTGCTTGGTCTACAGTCAACAATATTTCAAAAAGGCATGAACAAAAGTACCACTGTGTGTGCTTATTCACAAAAACCTCTATAATTACTTCCTAATATCACTGTCTAGGTGTCTGATTCAACATTCAATTTGAAAAGTGACAGCAGGTTCACATGCATATCCAGAAACTTTCAGAACTGAAGGTGCTTTTGACGGCAGGAAACCCTTTCTACTGTTTTGTATAAATACTGGAGATAGTTTCCTCATTATTTTTGGTCCCCACTTTAAGAACTTCAGTCTTCAGTTGCTAGATTCATTTTTCCTCCGTCCAGCAGCGCTCCTCCGTGAGAGCGGGGGTGGGGCAGTTGCAAACGTTCCGCTGCTGTTTCTCGCCAGTATCAGCTGATGAAGGGCTCTAGTTTCGCTGCGCCGTTCGTGTCAGCGGACACGGGAGGGACGGGGAAGGGGTGGGGCATGACGCTTAGCCTGGCGGGTGGGCAAGCAAAGCCTGGCACCCCGCCAGGCTTATAAAGCGCTGGGGGAACCATGTGATGTCTTTAATTATTTCACAGGTTATTTGTGCAGCTATGAGTGTCACGTTCAGACAGACAAGTGTTGTGCTTGACTGTTGATGCTTCTGTTTTTATTTCTGCAGCGAGCCTTAAAACTCACCTTACACCGCCCAGAGTTTCTTCTTCAAAACTTGTATTAAATAACGAGCTTCCTCCGCGCCGTATTTTTGATGTAGGATGAGAACTTTGCATCAATTGTCCCAGGGGAAAAGTTCAGCAGATGTGTTTGTTTACATTTTTGCCGCTGCATGCCTGCACAGTGTGACGCCGGTTTCACACTGCAAGCATCAGCAGAACGGAACGGCAGCGAAGCGGCACCGCTTCAAATAGAATCCAATTATGGTGTATGGAATGTTTCAAACCAGCCGGGACGCGGCAATTTCCAGGCGTGTTCCAGAAGCGGCATGCCGCGCCGCTAAAGATAGGATCGAGTTCTATATTTTCCGCAAGCCGCTTCTGGGACACGTCAAATTCCACAGTTCACATAGTACGAGACAGGAAACCACACGGTTTCAGTGTAAAATCCCTGGGTATTTTCAAAATAAAATGCAACGTTGCGATGTTATATTTAACTTATGTCAGTATGTGTGACCGAAAGGCTTTGTTTACCACCAGTTTCATTTGAGAAGTGCAACGGTGTGATGATTCCTCAGGGGGGTTGTGATCTCTCGATGAGGAAGGTGTCGGAAATCTTGAGGGATTTTAGAATCTCGCGGGTACAGCGAGGCGCAGTGAGGAAGGCGTGCCACGGCCAAGACTCTCCCGGTGTGAAAAGGACCGCTTTGAAGTTCACGAGTTAGCAGCTCCGTTGCTGTTCCTTTCCGCTAATGCTTGCAGTGTGAACCCGGGGTGAGAGAAGGAAGGGAGGGGCGACGCTACACTCCGTTCAGCGTCTCTACAGGCTCCAGTAGCAGCGACGGCCAGCTGGTTTGATCCGCTCTGAAAGCCCTTGATCAGAATATGCAGATCACTTTTTAAATGGAGATTGAGCGCGTACAGCCATCATGCGGCACTCATTACGTGGTGAAACTTGCCTAGGAACTTTTATCAGCTGCACTTAAATCACGCAAATACAAATTCATTATTTAATGGAAAAAATAAACAGAAACGGTACGCAAGTGGACAGAACCATAACGGTTCAACACTCCCCCGTGAGCCATTACACAGTGGTTGTTGTCACTGGTTCTGCTTCTGATGTGTGCAACCATTCCAGTAGGGGTTGTATGAACTAGTCGACTAGTCGACTTCACGTCTCTGTAGTGACATTTTATGCCTGTCATCGACTAGTCGCTGTCACGTGATAATGACTGATAAGATGCAGTCCTCCAGCAGGTGATAAGCCCCTGCGTCGGGAGGCGGCGCGCTGTGCCAGAGCATCGGTACTGACACCGGCGGTAAAACGGATATTTAACCAAACTGTGACCTTTTCCCTGTTGCAATTTTACCTTCCCCTCACCCCCATCCTAATCTTAACCAGTTTGTGCATGCAAAGCTCTGATCGTTGACGCGCTGCTCCAGACATCTGCGTCCTGAGCACCGCCAAATCAGGTGTCACCACCTCAAAAACAAATTAAACACGCGATCGTTCATGTCGGCTCATTTCCTTTCATGTTTTCTGTCTGTTATTTGTGCCTGATGCGTTTCGCTGCTGCGGAGCGAGGCTCTTCACCTGTTTTGTTCTCCGGTGACGCACCCCCAAAATTCCACTACCTCCACTCCGGCACGAACTCCGCAGCAAAAACAGTCCCGTTGTAGTCGGCCGGCGAGCAGCGGCACTCCGCTGTTTTTGTGGTCGGTAGATCTTTTAGAACTGCAGTTCAAAGGTAACTCATAAGGTGAATATATATGAACCCAGGTAGCAGTTTTTCTTTAGGATTGAGAGGAGATGCAGGAAGATAATAAACAGGCAGGACAGAAAAATAGTCAAATAAAAACAAGTTAGTTTTTGTACCTGGTGGTTGCAACAAACAAACACCATTGAAGGTAATCAGAAGTGAGGAACAGAAAATGAAATAATTATTTTGATGTTTAGAGCAGCAGGAACTCTGAGAGGCTGCAGGCGCATCAGTTTGCTGCTGCTGCGCAGGGGGAAGGGGGAGAGGACTGAAGTAGGATGCAGAAACTACCATTTTGTTAAAAGAGATGTTAGAACATGTGGGCGCAATTTTAATTGTCAAAAACTCCAGCAAATCTACTACCCCCCCCCCCCCCCCCGCTTCAGGTGTATGACGTCATCAACGACTAGTCGAAGTCGACTCGATTTTCATTGCTTGACTGTCGACTTTAAAAAAAATTAAGTCATGCAACCCCTACATTCCAGTTTACCTTTTTTTTCGGTCTGTGCGGACCGCACTATTGTTTATCTTTTTTGGGGATGTTGGAAAAGCTTTTACGGTGGGTTTACAGCCGTGTTTAACACCAGGGTAATTAATCAAACTGGTTAATCCCTGCAACCTAAGTGAGACAATAGACAGTTTTTTCATTGTAAAATTCTTATACATTGCTCCTTTGAATATGAAACTCGTTTATTTATAGATAGAGTATACAATGTTTTTATTCACTATTTTGATCTAACAACTAAGAAAGCACAATAATAGACTTAAAACATCGGTCAGTGTGCCCCAGGACAGCTGTGGGGGTTCCAGGACTCTAGAAGGTGCTATATCAAAAACAGGCCATTTTTACCATTTAAAACAAAGCTTTGTGTATGCACTGTCAAAAGTGGAAGAAAATGAAGAATAATGCCTCACAATAATGTGAATAAACAGAAATTTACAAGAAAAGTGAGCATAAGAAAATAGAAATAAAGAAATAGGGAAACCTTGGGTCTTCTGTAACTCCCCTACTTATCCTAAAAGAGCCAGAATAGATCCTGAATAGAGACTTGAGCTCAAGGTTACACTAAAGCAGGAGTGGGGAACCCTGATCCTCGAGGGCCAGTATCCTGCATGTCTTTGCTCCAACACTTCTGATTCAGACACTTCAGAAACTAAAATATGCTGGATAGTGGCCCTCGATGGACCAGGGTTCCCCACCTCTGCACTAAAGTAAAACAAAATTTCACAGGTGGAACGTTGTGAAATACATAAAGTAAATAGAGTATTTAAAAGTGTGCCCTTTATTAAACTGAACCACCATCAGAATAGCATTGAAAGGTTTACCATCTCAAAGAAAGTACAGAGTCCAGAGCGGTACCATCAGAAGGTAATGTTTTATCTCTTTGATTGCAATTAATGTGATTGCTGGAGGAGATGGATGCTCCTAATGAACATTCGTTAGCTGTGATTATGTGTAAAAGCTACTGAAGGTGAATTTAGATTTCGGTATAGATATATAGTTCAAATGAACACAAACATCTCCAGCCCATTCCTAGATTATTCATGAGATTCATCAACTGAGTGTCCAATTACAGGAATACCTGATAGCTAAAGTCCTTAAAAACAACATGGAGTTAATCTAAAACACTTCACAGCAGTTTATAATGTTATTATACTCTAATAAATGGAGGGACCAGTGGCGCCAGTGCTCGGCAGCCTCGCCTCCACCAGTGTGCCCCAGGGCAGCTGTGACTACATTGTAGCTCATCCCCACCTGCGTATGAATGAGTGAATGACAGACTGAGTTGTAAAGCGCCTTGGGGGGTTCCTTTAGAAGGGGCTATATCTAATACAGGCCATTTACCATTTAATGAACAAGAGCCATCCCTAACTTTGGTTTACTCTAGGTTTCAAAATGTATACAGCCAACAAGTACAGCAAAAGTCAACTCAAAAATAATCTGAAGGAATATGCTTTTCTTTTTAATTGTGGGTGTGTAAAGTAGCGAAGAGTATAACTTGCTAACGGCAGTCAGCATGTTCAGCACAAGAGTTGGATGGGATTAATAACTGGGGAAAAACAAGCTAACAGATGCTCAGAGAGAGAAAGTGGAAGATAGACAAATAAAAATGGAAACCCAGCATTGACTTTTTGTGTTTTTATTCAAGCAGCTACTTCATAAGTGTGTTTCCAACACAGTGGGGGCCTGACAATGAACTCAAGAGCTGACGAAAGACATATGTGCAAATGTTAGTAGTGAGAGCATAAACAGACTTGCTGACGTCGGAGCCTCTGACTGAATACTTATCAGGAAGAAAGCAAATTACCCTGACCTGCCTATTTCCTTCTGCATATGCAAAACACCAACTATTCAGAATTATTTAACACAACCCTCACTTTGTTGTCTTTTAATTTGGACTCAGCAGTAAGATACTATCTCTGCTGCAAAAAGGGTTTCAGCTTCTG